AGGCCTGGGGCTCTTGGCCTTTGCTGTAGGTCAGAACCCTGGAACTTTGTGAAATGCCCACCACAATGCCCAGAAGTCAGTCCAGCTCACCTCATTGAGGCAGAGCCAGGTGACAGCTATTCCCAGTTGCTCCCACTTGATTCTATGTCTTGATTCTGACTTGAGAGTCAGGGTGAGACCAATGGAAAGTAAAGGCAAATAGCAAACAAGAAAATCTTAGGGCAGTGCCCATGGCTCAGTGAGTAGGGCGCCGGCCCCATATACCAAGGGTGGTAGGTTCAAACCCATCTCTGGCCAAACTGCAAAAAAAAAAAAAAAAAGCTGGGTGTTGTGGCAGGTACCTGTAAGTCCCAGTTACTCAGGAGGCTGAGGCAAGAGAATCACCTAAGCCCAAGAGCTAGAGGTTGCTATGACCTGTGATGCTACGGTACTCTACCGAGGGTGACAAAGTTAGACTTTGTCCCCCCAAAAAAAAGAAAATCTTTGAAAAAATGGCTATTTCTGGCTCAGTAAACAAGTTCTAATAAGTTGTAAGTTATGAATACACCAGATTATATTTCTTTGATGTGTTAACTTTTTTTTTTTTAAGAGATAGAATCTCACTTTGTTACCCTTGGTACACAGCTCACAGTAACCTCTAGCTCTTGGGCTTAGGTGATCCTCTTGCTTCAGCCTCCCAAGTAGCTGGGACTACAGGCACTTGCCACAACGCCTGGCTTTTCTTTTTTTTTTTTTAAATCTTTTTAATTTTTTTGCAGCTTTTGGCTGGGGCAGAGTTTGAACCCACAACCTTTGGTATATGGGACCGTTGCCCTACTTGCTGAGCCACAGGCCACCCTGATGTGTAACCCTATCTCATGTATCATGTTCTTCCACACTAGATCAAAACTGTAGATGAAATAAATGCTCAGAAGCTAATATATTTAATACCTAAAAATGCACTCAACTGTTACACACATTCTGCCACGTACCATGTGAATTATAAATAGGTGATACTTGTAAGCAGGTTTCCCTCAACCTCCATATTTAAAAGATCATATACAACTGCACAGAAGTGTAGAAACTCCTTATAAAAAACCCACTTGACAACTGTCCAAATTGAAGGTTATATAATAAATTAACAGGCACTGTTTTCACAAGACCACAGTGCCTTAGAGAGTTCACTGGCTCTGATGATTGCACAGATCACACTTAACTTCCCTTGTGGAAATTTTCTTTTTTTTGGAGACAGACTCTCACTTTGTTACCCTTGGTAGAATGTCCTGGTCTCATAGCTCACAGCAGCCTCAAACTCTTGGGCTCAAGTGATCCCCTTGACTCAGCCTCTTGAGTAGCTTGGACTATAGGTCCCCGCCATAACACCCGGCTATTTTTAAGAGATGGGATCTCACTTTGGCTCAGGCTGCTCTCAAATCCATGAGCTCAGGCAATCCACCCACCTCGGCCTCCCAGAGTGTGAGGATTACAGGCATTGAGCCACGCGCCCTGTGAAATATTCTTAATTATTACCTGTATTATCATTTCATAAGATAACATATAATAAATTTATATGTCAATTAGATGATTTAAGGTTATTAATGCTTTTATGACATTTCTAATGTAGATGACTAATATTTGGATGCAGTATTGCAACCAAAAAAGTTAGTATATATAGTCCAAGTTAGGAAAAGCAACTGTTACATAATAATATAAAAGTCTTTATGTAGGGGCAGCGCCGTGGCTCAAAAGGGTAGGGCGCTGGTCCCATATGCTGGAGGTGGTGGGTTCAAACCCAGCCCTGGCCAAAAAGAAGAAAGAAAAGTCTTTATGTAAAATCTGACCAATAAAAATCAACCAGTTTAGTTAATGCCTTAAAAGCTCATAGATTCATAGATATTTAAATGTGGTAACTGTGTAACCTGGTAAACATTATCAAAACAGAATTTCTTAATAATCTGACTTTATAACGAAGAATATATAAAAATGACATATGAGAAAAACTGGTAATGCACCATCTCTCAGAAAATGTCCGTTTCCAGAAGCTGCAGTTTACCAGCTGGGATTTGCACCTCTGTGTCAGCAGCACCGACTCCTCACCACACGGTTAACAGGGCCCAGTCTTGATTCATTCACAAACCCCTCAAGGTCCTGAAAGGCCTGGTATGGACTGCTCCTATCACTGGTTAAAAACTGGTGTTTTGTAAGTCAACAGTATTTTCCACTGCCATGTGTTTAAAAACTCTACAAAATTACTAATCAAAGTATCTGTTTTAACTAGCAGTCTAAAAGCAAAAGCAAAAAAAATGAACCCTACAAAGACAGCGTATGCCATGGCGGAGCCCCACAGCACAGAACCCAGAAGTCAGTGCTGCATGGCCACTGGGGGCAAAAAGGGCGGCAAGGCGTGGTCACATGTAGGCCACTACCATCGTGTTAAAATTTTTACTTTCAAGGTTTTCTGAAACTGAAAAATACAAATTTAACCCCAGAGAATGTGAAAATCACTGAAACCACAGACCCTTCTCCCAGTGTACAGACACCCGGGTAGAAGGTGCCTTCTTCATCTCCCTGCCGTACCCCTGAGCAGCTCCTGTTAACTCTTACAGCTGCACACAAAGACGTATCAAAATAGGATTCCCTATCTCCTCAAAGAGCTAAAGCAATTATAGCTATAAACTGCACTTTAAGAGGAGTTTATAAATTTGATAAATGCATAAACTGTTTTAGCAGTGTCAATGCAGGGCTTAGAAACTGATCTTAATTCTTATAGTGACAAAGAAAGATGACTCTATCTACTTAAAATTCTATGCTCCGTGGCCAGCCTACAGGGTCTCTTACACAAATCAGTTTGGGAGGACTAATGGTCAGTGTTGAAGGAGTCAAGTCTCATCGTTTGCAATTCTGTCACAATCAACACAAGGTAGAAAATTATTGGCAAAATGTTTTTACTTTCTTAGTTGATTCTACCTTGAATTATTCAACTCAAATTTGGCATAATACTACTATATATAAAATGCTGCTGTTACTTTAACACTTTTCAGAGGGGACTGTAAAGCAGCAGCAGCTCTACCAACTACTAGCTACGTGACCTCATTTGCAAAATAGGGACAAACACGGACCTTCTCACAGAATTACATATGTAATGGACATATGCAAAGCTGCAAAGCTCTCAGAATACTGTCTAACAGTAACTGCTCAGTAAGTTTTGACTATTTCATATTTTCCTTTTTCCTTTTTTTTTTTTGGTGACAGTCTCACTCTGTTGTCCTGGATAGGGTGCCCTGGCCTCACAGCTCACAGCAACCTCAAACTCTGGGGCTCAGCTGATCCTCCTGCTTCAGCCTCCCAAGTAGCTGGGACTACATGTGCCCACCACAATGCCCCGCTAGATTTTTTTTTTTTTTAATTTTAGTAGCTAAAATACTCTTGCTCAGGCTGGTCTCAAACTCCTGAGCTCAGGTGATCCACCTGCCTCGGCCCTTCCTAGGTGCTGGAGTTGTAGGTGTGAGTGGCTGCGCCTGGCCAAGATAGCTATTTTCTTAAAAGAATAAGGACTGGAGCTGATTACTCCAAGAGGATGCCTTGATTGTTATTATTTTTAGGACTCAGCTTAATAACAGGCAGCGTAAATAATCTGGGGACCAAAGGTTTCTGTTTGGCTTAGAACAGAAATCCACTCAAAAAACTCCAGTCAAAACAACCCTGTACCAAAAAAAGAACTTTCACCCTAATTGTTAGAACCTTCAATGATTAATAAAGTGGCAAGGAGTCACTCTGAGGCACAAAGAAGAGTTCACTACAAAATTTTAATTTAATGCTTAATCAAAACAAAATAGGGTCACGGTGAAAATATTTTATATAGCATCGTTACCTTCCGAGGTTCAGATGTCCAAAAGATAAGCTTGTTGTATGAAAATCATGACTCTCAATAGGTGCTATAAAACAAGGGAATTATCTGATACTGTACACAAGACCCGACATCCTACACAATGGAAAGCTTTATTAACAAAGATGCCAGAGTTTAATTAAATACTGATGGGAAGACACATACGCTACCTGACACCCATACCCAGGAAAAACTCACAGAAGGATTACAAATTTTAGTAAGGTAGCTTACTTTTAACTTAGAAAAATTACAAAATTGTCAATTGTTAAGAAAAGATATATTAAGGGCTTAGCATGTGACCTTTAAAGTATACTTAGGAATATAGAGATAGGTAATTAAAATAAATTGTGCAAACACATATTACACCAATCTGCACAATTATAAATTCAATGATGCATTAGTGCTGTATTCAGTGCAATCAAAACATTATCAGTTACTCTCTCTGCTACTAATGCTCATGCTCATAAGTGAAATGTGTTGTAAAATCAGGCACAATGGGCTGGATAGAGACTCTCGCGGACTTGTAGAATGAATAAGCATTCCTTAATTAGCCCATCAGGTTAAGTGCAAGCATTAATGGGCCCTTCCTGAAGTCTAGCTTGACATCTTTCTCCAAACATGGCCAAGAAGAAAGTTCCATTAGCAATATTAATACAAGCTTAGTTGATCATTTTCATTCAATTAACTTCTTTCAATTAAATAGATAGCTTGACAAAAGCAGTGATAAAAGACCCAAAGGGACAGCTGATGACTCGAACTGAACATTAGTGTGCGAGAGGTCGCTGGTACTAAACGGACTGTAAATCTAGCATTCAATTTGGAAAATGCGTTTCTTCTGCTCTCACTTCTTTAATGAGCAATTTTAGCTGACTAGATGTGTTTGCTGCAGAAATTTCATGGGAAGTCAAGCACCCTTTTCCTTTTCTTTTTTTCTACCCCAATAGTTATGTTCTCGCAGTGGTGGTGGTTTCCTGCCTATATTGTAACCACAGTAACTCATAATTTCTCTTTTAAAATGAGATATTTAAAAATAATTTACATATAACTTGCATTCAAAATTAATGACCTATTATTCTACCTTGTTAATCAATTGTTTGAAACAATAAAATCTGTAAGAAATTTTTTTTTTTTTTGAGACAGTCTCACTTTGTCGCCCTTGGGAGAGTGCTGTGGGTTGCTCACAGCAACCTCAGGACTCTGAGCTCAAGTGATCCTCTGCTCAGTTTCCCAAGTAGCTGAAACTACAGGCACCGCCATAACACCCAGCTACTTTTAGAGACAGGATCTCACTCTTGCTCAGGTTGGCCTCGAATTTCCTGAGCTCAAGTGATCTGTCCAGAGTACTGGGATTAGAGGCGTGAGCCACTGCACCCAGTTTATAGGAAAATTTTAGAGGAAAATATTAAAAATTTAAATTACACAAGTTTGAGACCAGCCTGAGCAAAAGTGAGACCCCTTCTCTACTAAAAACAGAAAAACTGAGGTAAGAGGATCACTTGAGCCCAAGCTGGAGGTTGCTGTGAGCTGTGATGCCATGGCACTCTATGCAGGGCGACAGCTTGAGACTCTGCCTCAAAAAAAAAAAAAAATTAAATTATACTTCACTGTTTCACAATAAGTACCTAGGACAATTTACAAAGGTACAAGTAACAATAAACAAACACAGTTTTAAAATGAGGTAAATGTAAATTAAAATAAAATGACTTTTCTTAACTAAGTTTTGCAAAGTAAACTTAGGCCTGAAACAAGCCTATTACTCTGAAATGAGTAAAGACAAAACAAATTTGCATGTCATTCACCCTCAGTAAACAAGAAAACATGTATATTCTCTACCTTAAATAACTGAATCCACCGTTTCTGCTCCATCTGTATACACTGCTGCATCTCAGAGCTGGTGGTGACTCCAACACTCTGAAACGCTATGACGTACTCTTCCCGCACCTCTGGCTTTGTCTCTGGGTAGGCCAGCTTGATGATGCCCAGGCAGGCGTCCCGCAGGCACCGAGACAGCACCACCAGCTCCTCCAAAGTGAAAGGCATCATCGACGATTGTCTCTGACCTACAACTGGAAAATACAACCCATCACAATTTTCTATTGTACATTTCTTTTTTTCATTTCTCACACACCCAAAGGCTTTCTATTGTCTATGAAAACTGACAGACCACGTAGACAGCAACAAAGGGATTTCTCAAAATTCTTACCTTCTATGGGATCACCAAAGAATTCATTATCATGTATGGAAATTAGCGAATGGCTAAACAAGGAGCTGAAAAGGTAAAATAGTGGGATGATGCGACCAGAATCTTCAAAAGACATAGGAGAGCCCCTGGATATCACCTGCAGCAACGGCACCAGAGACCTTGACGAGGAGACAGAAAAGACCCAGTTATTTTAAGATAAGCTTTACTTTGGTAACTGATTAAGACACTGTACCAGACAAATATAATCAGAACATAACATTTACATTAACACTTACACCACTTAGAGGTAAGGGGAAGTCACTGTGACCCTGACAATATAGGTTAATAAACAGCACAGATTAATCAACCCACTACTCCTCACTAACCGGCCTGCTGCTCATATCAACTGGATAAACCAGGTCACTGGAGTTGAGTCTGCAGCCCCATGGCGGAGGCCCTATAAAGAGTTACACCACGCCACTACTGAAGACATGCTGTGCTGTGCTCTGCTTTTATGAAAAAAACTATCCCCCTTTCCCACAATTCAACATATTTTAAAAAGGCAACCATTCAGGTTTCAGGAAAAACTCATTCAGTTACTTTTAGGAACACTGAAAATAGTTCAATACTGAAGCCAAATGAGACCCTTCAGGACCAACACTTCCCTATGCTATGCTGGCCATGTTCCCAGGGTCAGGCGTGTCCAGCAGCTCCTGTTACTGCTGCTGCTCCTGGGCATCAAGGGCTGCCACTGTGGGGTGGTCCTAAGAGGACCCTGCGGTCTCCTCCCCCAACAGGAGCTAGGCCCTATTAAATGCACTTCTGCCACCGAGAGTGTGTTCCTCTTCTCTCATTTGAGCCTGGATCCTCGTCTTACGAAGGAGCATTTCGTTAACTGAGGGTCCCCTGTGAGCCCTTCCCAATCCACACAGCCCAACGTGCCCTCCAGCACCTCCAGCCAATCATGGGTTACTAGATGTTGTGGGCCAGATCACACCTTACCTCCCCGAACATCTATTTCCACAAAACCACAGGTTACATTAGATGGGACTTGACCAAGGAGTTAGGATTGGAAAGAAAGCTACTCATTAGTCAGGCAGGGTTAAACCTTCTGGACTGTCTCAGTGCCTGTGGAGCACAGCTTAGGGAGGCACCGCCCCAACAGTGTGGCCTCCACTCCCATGGGAAAAGGTGCTACGACACCACCCTGCACAGCTCGATGTGCCCGGTTCATACAGGCACTTAGCACTGTGCTAAACGGACACGTGAACTCATGGAGGAAAGCCATTCATCTGAAACAGAACACAGCAGGGACACACAGCAAAGAAAACTGCCCTGCCTCAGTGCCAAAGCGTGCGCGACAGAAAAAGGCTGTTTCTGTGGAGGATAAAAGAGATGTGGGACAGCCTTCACTGCCTAGCCATGGCTGCTTCTAACTGCCCATCCTGTGAGAAAAGGAGTCCTCTCCTATTTCAATCATTCATTCATTCATTTACTTTTTGAGACATGGTCTTGCTTTGTTGCTGGGGTTAGAGTACAGCAGCATCACCACAGCTCAACGCAGCCCCAAACTCCTGGGCTCAAGCAATGTTCCTGCCTCAGGCTGGGCACCTCTAGCAAAGTGGTTACAACGCCAGCCACATGCACCAAGGCTGGTGGCTTTGAACCTGGCCCCAGTCAGCTAAAAACAACAATGACAACTGCAACAACAACAACAAAAATAGCCAGTGTTAGGGCGGGTGCCTGTAGTCCCAGCTATTTGGGAGGCTGAGGCAAGAGAATTGCTTAAGCCCAAGAGTTTGAGGTTGTTGTGAGCTGTAACGCCACAGCACTCTATCCAGGGCGACATAGTGAGACTCTGTCTCAAAAGAAAAAAAAAATTCCTGCCTCAGCCTCCCGAGTAGCTGCGACTAATAGGCACATACCACCACATCAATTAATTTTCCTATTTTTTTCAGAGACAGGCTCTCACTGTATTGTACAGCCTGGTCTCAAACTCCCGCCTCAAGTGGCAAACTCCTGCCTCAACCTCCTAAAGTGCTAGGATTACAGGCACAAAACACTACACCCAGCCCCTTCCCTATATTCTTAGTTACTCTCCACCATGCCCTGTACCAGGACATTGACACATAGTGGTAACCAGTAAAAATTTTGCTGACATACAGAAGACAAAAAATTTAATGTCATATATTTTGCTTATATTAACAAAAACACGTGATCAGTACGTTTTAGTTCCCTTGCTACCAAACGTAGAAATACAGAAATAACAGATAATGTGCAAGAACACATTCTGTTTAGAGGAACATGGTACTGGCAGCATTAACCAGCTGCAATGAGGACAAAGTATTTTCTGAATCTAAAAAAGAGATGAATCAGCTTTCATCTGTTATCCCTGTTGGGAACCGATTATCACCATCACTGTATCATCAATTATGCACATTAATGCCAGGATGCATTCCCTAAAGAACAATAGGGTAATTAACCACCAGTAACTATTTGTTCTCTTTAAACCCCTGTGTAATAAGCAAAGAAAATTAATCATTTTGACTTTAATGTCAGAAAATGGGACTGGCAAGAAAGGTTAGACATGCCCCAGGGTTCCCGGCAGCAGGGCGCAGTGAGGAGCAGGTGTCTGTTCTCTGCTGACGACTCATTCTACTACAAACACTGACCCAATGTTCTCTGAAAAGAAGTCAATCCCAAAGACTTATCTGCAAATAAAAAGTCTATAATTTACTATAATGGAAAAGACATCAACCAATAACTTAGGGGTGTTGGTTAAATTACTGAGCACTGGTGAAACCTGTGCTCCCTCCAACCTCTGCGTCTGTATCTGTGGGAGCCATTCCTCCTCTTTGCCCCAACTTCAAGAGCTTCCTGTCTTCTATGTAAGAATGAATTTTTGCCTCAGAAAGTGTGCAGAGTACTACTGCAGGCTATCTTGGAATTACGTGATCAGATAACCAACAAGGCACCCACTGCACACACTGAGGACTCCTGGGCACAGCACCCTCACGTCACGCCCTGATGCAGAGATGCCTGATGGAAAACAGAAGCCAGCTGCTATCGGGTCTTTCATCGTCAGCAAGCAGGAGCTACACTATAGCAAATACTGTAAATAAGGTACATGAATAAAAATGTTATTTGCAAAATACATGACGTTCTAAAATGCTTCTTATCCACCTAGAGATAGTCCTGTTGGGCTGGGGAGAGAACAGTGCTTCTCAGTCAGCGCAGTCCCAGGTGCAACTCAGTGGTCTGAGAAGCCTGTGACAGCTCGGGCTCTAGACTCTGACCCTCAGGGATGGGAACAGAGCCTGCACTTCAGTACACTACCTTGAGGATGCCACTGCACACTTAAGCTAAAGCCCTGGTTACTCTTGTCTGCTGTGACGGATTTCCAGAATAAACTGAATGCAGTTTTCAGAAAAGCAAACGTTCCATTTTGAATTTTATTCCCAATAGTAAATATGATGGGACATGTCACGGACTCATGATGGTTTTACTTGGGATTTTTCAACGTGAAATGCTGTCAATAGAAATCGGGACTCTGCCCATAAAACCATTCGGTTTTACAATTTCTGTATGGTGTTTGATAAACTAAGAGATATTTAATACTTTATTAAAAAACGGGCTTTGTATTTGAAGATTTTGCCCAACTACAGGCTAAGGTAAGTGTTCAAGCACGTATTAGGAAGGCAAGGCTAAGCTATGACACTTGGGTAAGTCGGGTGCACCAAGTCAGGGCATCGTCAACTAATGTTTATCGGGATGTGAGTCCACTGTAAGTCAGGGAGTGTACGTGTTAGGATTGTATAAATACACCGTCAGTTTCTTGAGGGTCGTTATTTCAATAAATAATTTAACAAATTAATATAGGTTGGGTACAGTAGATACATGTAATCCTAGCACTCTGGGAGGCCAAGGCAGGAGATTGCTTGAGGCCAGGAGTTGGAGGCCAGCCTAAGCAAGAGTAAGACCCTATCTCTACAAAAAAATAGAAAAGTTAGCCAGGCATGGTGGCACGCACCTGTAGTCCCCAGCTAGTCAGCAGGCTGAGGCAGGAAGATTCCTTGAGCCCATGAGTTTGAGGTTGCAGTGTGCTGTGATCACACCACTGTACTTTAGCCTGGGTGACAGAGCAAGACCCTGTCTCAAAAAACAAAAACAAAAACCAAAAAACAAAAACAAAAAAAGAAAAGAAAAGAAAGAAAAACACAAGTAAAAAGAAACTCAAATTCTCAAATTGCCTTTTAAGAAATGAATTAAAAAACTTGTATAATTTTACCAACTTATAAAATAGTAATAATATCTCATTTTTCTTTCACATACATGACCCCATTTCCTTACCCAAAGATAAATATCACAAATAAACAAGCAATTATCAGGCAGAACTACAACAGTGCCACTGCTGGAGTCTGGGACACTTAACGCAAGTGGTGCTCTCCCGTCCTAACGCTCCTCATGGCCTTCTGTCTAGCCAACCTGTCACTCATTCAGGAAAGCTAAGGTAGGCAGTCATAAGTGACTGAAGTGCCCAAAAACACCACGAAAAACACACCTAAACCCTGGATTTTAGTTTTGGAAATGAAAGGCTAGAGAACAATTTTTCTAGCCATCCTGTCATTCCAGGGTCTCTCATCTGTTTCTGACACTCGCTTCTGATGCTGTGGGACTCCCATGAGACAGATAATGGCGTTGCTAACCACTCCCTTTCCTCACTTTTAGGATTCAGTAATGAAAACAAAGACAAGTAAAGTAGCGCAATTCATAAAGTGACAGTCCCCTGTCATTTGTAAGAACACTTTTTGTACAGATGGTCTGAACACCAGTTCCATTCACAACGGGGCCAATTGTGGCTGATTAAAGGGTTCAAAAACGGGAGCATCTTTGCTCTGCATACTGCATTAAAAAGCCCCTAATCCAGCACCATCTCACATGGGACAGACCAGATAAGGTGCAGATGATGCTTGTTTACATTCTGGATACCTCACCTCCACCTACCAAAAATTCTTTCTCCCATCTTGTTCCTAAAAAAAGAAAAAACCTACCTCTTCTTTCCACACACTTGCCCTATGACTGGGACTTGCTTCCTTTTAGAGGACAAGCTGGTTCCCAGTGTGCAGTCAGGATGGCAACTGCTGCTCTAGCCGTGTAGTGAGCAGACATGCAGCTGCATTCTCTAGGTCTGAGTTCCAGCTAACTGAGTCACACATCTCAGCTCTTCATATTGTAGTGCAGAGATGAGCTGAGACTTCTGATGGTGGAAAAATCCAACCACATGATAATGAGCTAAGTCACTTTGCCATGACAAATTTTAAATATGAAATTCTTATTATACATTCAATTAAAATATATATTAAAGCCGGTAACTTTCAAGTTACACAGTGATTCATATACAAAAAATCAAATTAGCTCAACAAAACATTTTAAAGACCAACCTCTATACTGTTTTAATATTTGTAATGGTGTTAAAATTCCCTTAAATCTATATTTCACTGTCAAAAGAATAAATCTCTAAGTGTCCAAGGCAAAAAATAATAATAAAAAGAATATTAAAGTCATTGTGAGTAAAGTAATTCCTAAGTCTCTAGTTAGAAAAAGAAAAAAAAGACTGGGATTCTCAAAACACATTTGCCATGAGATAAGGCCATGCTCTTATTAATGAACACATATAAATAACCGGCAAATTAGGCACTAAGTTGAGACCATCCAGAACTTTTTCCCAGTATGAAATGAGTTCAGTAGAAGAATTAAAAACACCTGTACACAATGTCTTAATGAGGCTGCCCACGGCCGGGAGCTCCACCTACGACTGTATGTGTTACATACCCGGTGATCATCCGTGTGGTCATGGAAGATATCAGAAACCAAAGATGTCTCAGAAACCTGGCATTGAAGGCTAAACTATAGAGGAGCCTAAAAAGGAATGGGGAAAAAATGAAGAAGAATAAGATGAGGAAGCAATTGTTCATGCAATACATTTCTCAAAAACAAAACAAAACAAACATGGTGCACGGACGATAAACGGCCCATTCTGTGTTCTAAATCTCTGCCCTTGGGGGGAGGCTGGCCTCTCTCCACCACTGAGAGGCAAAGATGGCCGTCTGCACTCCCCCGTGCTGAGTGGAGTCAGTCCAGGTGTGGTAGCAGCCTATTCAAGACGAGGGCACAGGCTGAGCCCAGCACAAGCTGAGGCTGCCCCTCTTCTGATCACATACAGTGATATATTAATACACTGCCATGCATAAAAACAGCACTGATGCTACTACTGAAAACATACTTTCAAAATTTCTGAGATATTTAATGACTAACTGTAAGCCATACTTACTGAAATAAACACAAAAATGTTAACATCTAAAAAATAATCTAAATCTAAAAAATACATATATGTATATATATTTATTGAGACACAGTCTCTGTTGCACCAGGTATCATCAGAGCTCACAGCAACCTCAAAGTCCTGGGTTCAAGCAATCTTCCTGCCTTAGTCTCCCCATAGATGGGACCACAGGAACCTGCCACATCACTCAGATAATTTTTCTATTTTAGCAGAGACAGGGATCCTCCTGCCTCAGCTTCCCAGAGTACTGGGATTAAGAGGCATGAGACACCATGCTGGCTTAAAAACACATTTTAAAGATCCTTAAAAATTCTTCTTTTATAATATCAAATTGATTAAAAAGACCAAAGAGTTTGTTAAGAAGGAGGAGGCTAAATCACTTTTTTTTTTTTTTTTTTAAAAAGGCTTAGGATGGTAAGTTTTTTTTTTTTTGAGACAGAGCCTCAAGCTGTCCCCCTGGGTAGAGTGCCATGGCATCATGGCTCACAGCAACCTCCAACTCTTGGGCTCAAGTGAGTCTCCTGCCTCAGCCTCCCACAGGCACCCGCGACAATGCCCAGCTATTTTTTGGTTGCAGCTGTCATTGTTGTTTGGAGAACCTGGGCTGGATTCGAAACCTCCACCTTAGGTGTATGTGGCTGATGCCTTAGCCACTTAAGCCACAAGGCGCCGAGCCAGTAAGAAAAGATTTTAACAAAGGAATGCGATCTTACTAGAAACATTCCAGAGGAACAAGAAAGTAAAACAACAAAAACAAAGCTAGGGCCAGGCACAGTGGCTCACTGCTGATATGAAAAATAGAAAAACGAGGCCTATGCTGCAGCGGGTGCCTGCAGTCCCAGCTACTCAGGAGGCTGTGGCAGGAGGATCACTGGAGTCCTTTCAGGAGAAATGGCATTAAGAGTAAAGTGACAAACTGACCAAATAAAAACACTATATAGTGTGTACACACAATTCTCTGTGAAATTTATTTACTGTTTATATACTGTACAGAGTGTGTGTGTATATATATGCACATATATATATTTTTTCTTTTTTTGGAGATAGTCTCACTGTCACCCTTAGTAGGATGCTGTGGCATCATAACTCACAGCAACCTCAAACTCTTGGTCTCAAGTGATCCTCCTGCTTTAGCCTCTCAAGTAGCTGGGACTACAGGTGCCTGCCACAATGCCTGGCTATCTGTAGAGACAGGGTCTCTCTCTGGCTCAGTCTGGTCTTGAACTCCTGAGCTCAAGTGACCCGTCTGCTTCAGCCTCACAGAGTGCTAAGATTATATAGGCATGAACCATCGTGCCTGGCCTATTAAATATATTGTAATATGCTCAATTTTCTAAGTATGTTCAATTTAAATAACCACAGTAGAAGACAAATAATAGGGCTTAGATAAATGAGGCACTTTTCAATACAAAATCTCAAATTTGATTGAGTAATTTCCTACATTCAAACCCAAATATTAGATGCTCTGTTCTCCATTAGCATTTTCTGAGTATGCAGTAACAACTACAGAGTCTGGTTTAAAGAGGATTCCATTCTTATTTTAGTGTGGTGCATTTGAGATGTCTGGACGCTATCAAGGGCACAACTGTTGAAAAACTAGTGAAAGCATGAGAGAATATGTGAAATATACCTAGAATCATAAAATCCTAGGCTAGAAAGACTCTATTAGACCATTCAGTCCAATTCATTGGACTTTTGGGACACCATGTAAATTTAATTAATTCATTAATTAACTATGTTGAAATGTCTAAAAGCTCATCAATTCTATCTGATCTTCAAGAAACAGACTGCAGGCTTGGTGCCTGTGGCTCAAGTGGCTAAGGCGCCAGCCACATATACCTAAGGTGACGGGTTTGAATCCAGCCTGGGCCTGCCAAACAA